ATGTTGTGCTGAGGTTAACCTGAGTACCAAGACCTTTCTGAAATGACTTCCAGAAATGAGAGGTAAACTGAGGACCTCTATCTGAGATGATAGACAAAGGAACCCCATGCAACCTGACTATCTCATTAATATAAATCTTGGCGCAGTCATCCGCTAAATCTGTAGTTTTGACAGCCAAAAAGCGAGCGGACTTAGTAACTTTGTCTACTATCACCCAAATGGAGTCATGCTGCCTGTGAGTACGAGGTAGACCTGTAATGAAGTCCATGTTTATCACTTTCCACTTCCATGTAGGAATGTTAATCCCTAGAGTCATACCTCCTGGTTTCCAATGTTCTACCTTCACTTGCTGACAATTTGGGCACTTAGCCACAAAATCTGTTATATCATTTTTCATGCCATTCCACCAAAAGACTTCTCGCAAATCACGGTACATCTTAGTGGCACCTGGATGAATAGAATACCTGGAGTTATGGAATTATGTAAGGATCTGTTGTCTCAACTCTCCCACCTTAGGGACACATAAACAACCCTGATAGCGAAGCACACCATCTCCCCCTTAGAGAAAACCTCAACTTTTTGCAGATGAACTGCACCATTCAGTTGAAGCAATATAGGATCAATACTGTCTTGTTTCTCCTTAACCTCCGCTTCCAATTAAGATTCTGACCCATTCTGGACTTCTATACCACCATCTGATATGCTCATAAAGCAAACTCCTAAGCGAGCAAGCCGGTGAACATCCTTTGTTAGTTCTTTCCTTCTTCCTCAACATGTGCTACATACCCATAGATAGTCTGATAAGAGCATCAGCTACTACATTGGCCTTACCAGGATGGTAAAGCACATTCATATCATAGTCCTTGAGGAATTCAAGCCATCTCCTCTGGCAAAGATTCAACTCTTTCTGGGTGAATACGTATTGAAGGCTCTTATGGTTTGTGAACACATCTACGTGAACATCATACAAGTAATGTCTCCAGATCTTTAGGGTAAATACTATGGCTGCAAGCTCGAGCATGAGTCAGATAGTTCTTCTCATGCACCTTAAGTTGTCTAGAGGCATAAGTTATAACCTTACCTCGTTGCATCAACACACAACCTAGGTCGACTCTGGATGCATCACAATAGATCACATAACCGTCTGAACCCTCTAGTAGTGTCAAAACAGTAGTTATAGTCAACCTAGTTTTCACACTCATCTGACCACCGAAACTTAACCTTCTTTTGAGTCAACTTAGTCAATGGAGAAGCTATGGATGAAAATCCTTCCACGAACCTTCTATAATAACCTGCCAAACCCAAGAAACTTCTGATATCTGTAGGAGATCTCTTCGCTAAATTCTATATGCCCAAGGAAAGCAACTGATTGCAACCAAAACTCGCATTTGCTAAACTTAGCGAATAATTTGCGATCTTTGAGAGTTTGTAGAACAACCCTTAAATTAGTCACATGTTCTTTCTTATTCCTAAAGTAAATGAGGATATCATCAATAAACATGATGACGAACAAGTCCAAATATTATTTGAATACCCTGTTCATCAAATCTATGAAAGCTGCAGGAGCATTGGTTAGTCCAAATGACATAAATACAAATTTATAATGACCATACCGAGTTCTGTAAGCTATTTTCAGGATGTCACTATGTCTGACTATAAGCTGATGATAACCGGATCTGAGGTCTATCTTCGAGAAATGACTAGAACCCTAAAGTTGGTCGAACAAGTCATCAATCCTGGGGATAGGGTACTTATTCTTGATTGTGACTTTGTTCAACTATCTATAATCAATGCACATCCTGAGAGACCCATGTTTCTTTTTCACGAACACTGGTGGACCCCATAGGGATATACTAGGTCTGATGAAGCCCTTATCTAGAAGGTCTTTCAACTGCTCTTCCAATTCCTTAAGCTCAGCTGGAGCCATTCTGTAAGGAGGAATAGAAATAGGCTGGGTATCTTGAAAGAGATCAATTCCAAAGTCAATTTCCCTTTCAGGAGGAACTCCGAGAAGATCTTCTGGAAACACTTCTGGGAACTCATTAACTACTGGAACTGACTCAAGAGTTGGGGTTTCGGAGCTTGAATCCTTAACCCAAACTAGATAATAGATATACCCCTTCGAGATCATCTTTTTGGCCTTAAGATAAGAGATAAATCGACCCATAGGCACTGAGCTACTACCCTTCCATTCTAAGATTGGCTCGTCTGGAAACTGAAAAAGAATGATCCTAGTTTTACAATTGACTGAGGCATATAGGAATGTAACCAATCTATGCCTAGAATGATATCAAAGACTACAATTTCTAATTCTACAAGATCTGCTGAGGTGACTTTCTAGGAGATTATGACGGGGCAATTTTTGTATAGTAGAGACTGAGAAGGGTTCTGAGAGAGTTTTTGGACTGACATCGAAGTTCATTGCTATATAAGAAGTTAGAAAGGAAAGAGTAGCCCCTGGATCTAACAAAGCATAAACATCTACGTGAAAGACTCGCAACGTACCAGTAATCACATCAGGAGAATCTTCCTGATCTTGGCGAGCCTAGAGAGCATATAACATATTCTGGCGCTAACCGCCACCTGTACCAAACGTAGTACCCTGTTGAGTCGGGCGACCTGCTGGTATTGCTGAAGCTGTAGACTGAGCCCTACTAGTGTTACCTTATTGACCCTGTTTAGAAGAAGGGCAGTCCCTCAACCTGTGACTAGTCTGACCATATCCAAAACATCCATCCTTTCCTGCAAGACACTCGCCTGGATGGTTCTTATTACACTTTGGACAAGTTGGGTAGGTTCTGGAAACTGAAACACTCCCTTGAGACTTAGAGCCTGATGCCCTAACTTTCTGATCCTGTCTAAACCTGGGGGATGGAGAACTAGCTGATAAAGGTGTTGGGGCTGAAGATTTCTGCTGAAACTGCGAGCGATTTCCACCACCCGATTTCTGCTGAAAGTACTCATAGTGAATGTCCTAGCCTTTTTGTTTTCCTTAGCTAGTTCTCTAAGCTTATCTCCCTCAATCTGCTGAGCATGAGTCATGAGCCTAGAGATAGTCATATCCTCTAACAACAACGCATTTCTGCACTCTGTCTTCACCAAGTCAGATACTCCAAATAAGAACTTACTCATCTGCGCCCTGGGATCGGCAACCATATGTGGAGCATACCTGGAGAGCTGGGTGAACTTAAGTCCATACTCTTGGACCGAAGTAGAACCTTTGTCTCAAATTCATGAATTCATGAGCCTTAGCCTCTCTTAACTCTCTTGGAAAGAACCTGTCCAGAAAAGCTTCAGTAAAACACTCCCAAGTTACAGGAGCTACATTCTCACCCCTATTTTCCTTCCATTGAGTGAACTGAATGTGAGCTACATCCTTGAGCTGGTAGGACTCCAACTCTACCCTATCATTCTCAAATACTTGCATCACTTCAAAGATCTTCTTGACCTCATCAATAAAGTTCCTGGCGGTCCCACCAACTTGTGACGCTAGAAACTCAAGCGGATTCATCCTCACAAAATCACGGACCCTAGCTGTCACTAACCCACCACTAGCATTTGCAGGAACTGGAACCTGCTGATTGTTCTGGTTGGCTACACTCTGGGCCAAAAGTTGAATGACATTCCGAAATTCAATATTCGAAACCTCATGATTTGGGACTGGAGGAGCTGCATTAGCATTGCGCGCATTGGCATTCCTTGGGTAAGCTCTACGAGGAGGCATGATCTGATAACGCATAACATCGAGTTAGAAAGATGATCATTCCCACGCACGATAGAATAACAAAAAAGTGAAGTTTTTTTTAAGACACTTCGTAGCCTCCCCCTCATAAGTGTGGTGCTCTTAACACTCGTGAAAGGGACTCTACTTAGTGCGGTTTTTCAGACATCCTAAAACTCTTGAACCTAGTGCTCTGATATCAAGTTTTTCATGCCCCGAGGCTACCCCTTTGACGTAACACAGGACCTAGGATCACGAATGAGCCCAAGCTAACCCTGAACTGGCATATCATTAGCATACTTAAAGATTTACTGAATATAGAAATACTGAGCAGAATCTTAAACATGATATAAAATGAAATGATGGGGAAAACCCATTCTAAATCTGAATATATAAAAGACTGAGAGTTCAATAACAATTGAAAGATCAAACTCCAAACTAAAACTAAATCTAACTATGTCCGAATAAAAGCCTCTAACTGAATAGAGATGTTGGGACATGCCCCCATTTAAATCTACCAATACTAAAACTAAAAAGACTGAAAATGAAAGGAAACATGTCTATCGTCTTTGGAGAATGAGGACTCACCACTGATAATGTTAAACTGGAGATCGGGAACCGATCTATGTGTGATCTGAATGTTGAGGACCTGAACCTACATCACAAGAAGATGTAGCGCCGAGTATGCGTCAGTACTTGAAAGGTACTGAGCATGCAGGATAAGATAAAACTGAACAACAATACATAACTGAAATAAAGCATGTTGAGCAATGATATAAGATGAACATAATATATATACTGAACATACTAAACATGAACTAAACTGAGTGCAACGACCAAGTACATACTATGCTAAAACTGAATATTGAGTTTCATAATGTATCATATTATTGCATTTATGTTGTATTGTATCGTATTGTATTATTTTAATGAACAAAATATTTAGATACATTATATTATTCTTGGTCATTACATCATGTCACAAGTCAACAATTTGAATGGTAAACATATAAGAGAAGTAGGGTGTGGGGTATAGCAACTATCAAAAGGTAGGGTAAAGGATAAATATGATTATTAAATAAAAGGTAAATAAAAAATGAAATTAAAATATTAATATCATGACACAATCACACCAAATCTGTCGTTACACAAAATGAAATTTTTCGTTGTTACCTAACAATAGATATAAACGATTGATACAACAAAGTTTAATTAACAATCAAAACTAACTGATATGTACCTTCGATAATAAATCTTCTGATGTCATTCAATTTTGCAGCAATATACACCCGATGAGCAATCGTTACATTATTGGAGGGCGTCTTATGGACACAAGCTAACGTTGGATGGATGGAAGCAATACATGCGATTATCAACAAAATTGTCCAAAATATGGGAAACCTTGCAATTGTTGCTTGCATTATTATAAGTAGCAATGACTATGAACTTTTTGAAAATGGATACAAGGGTGAGTAAGCATCTTTCCACCCTTAGCCATATATCGTGACAGTGAAGATTTTACCATAGTTGAGATCAAAATGATCAATGAACTGAGGACAGACAATTTGTATAGCCTCTTCTCTCTTTGTATAAAAGCTAGAACACTACTGTCACTTGTAAGCCAACAAAGGTAATTGTGTCAGTAAACAAGTAGACAATAAAATGATAAAGAGATGGAAGTATTGGCTCTCAATTGAATTTCACACCACACGCCAGATCTATCTGATGAAAGTACATTACAAGTTGAAATTTTCAACCAAAATTCTAATGGTTACCACTTTATATGTATCTAAACTAAGGTAATCAACATCTAGGCATGTATAACCAGTCACATATGTTGACTCTGGTATGGTATTAACTGGTGTTCTTTGGTTATTGGATTGAAATTACAATAAATCATAATTTCCTCAAAGTCTAACAAAATTAGTCCATTGCATGAGGCCAAAAGATCAACATCGCACGATAAATTCATTGAACATTGAATGATTGCAGTGGGTTTTAAGAAAATTTTGTATAAACTTGTGGATAAAATATGTGATGAATAAGTTGTGTATAATAAGTTTGTTGATTTTGGAATAAAAGTTGGAAAAAATAAGGATTCAAAATCCTACTTTTAAATTTCTTGCTTGAAACTTTACATTGATTTACAAACTTCAAGGGCAAGTGTGTGATGATTTTTCCAACCATATCATCATCAAATTCCATGTGTTCCTCTGCTCTGTTGTTATTTGTCATGCCCTTAATTCGTTTGATTCTTTCTTTAGAGTGTATAAAAGAAGACATTAAATGATTTGCTAAGAAAAAATCATTATTGTTATTGATGTTAAATAGTATAAAAGTCCAATAAGATATCAAAATAATAATCTCTGAAGTGATTCGAAAGATCCACTTTAACAATCAATGAACCATATATATTGATTTGTAATGAATCTTACCCAATAAGATATCAAAATAATAATAATAATATATATATATATCATGTAAAAGTATAAGTACGTTTAATGAATTAGTGAATTATTTTATATAGTCATCAATATAAAACACTTATTTGGTCCTATTCGTACAATTGTAATGTACCAGGAAAATTGAATATATCAAGATATATTATATGTCACGATGCAAAAACACAAGTTGTGATGACAACTATATATGTTTACCAACCCAATAAGTTTAACAATTCAACTTAATGAATAAAGTGGAAAGGTAAGTAACAACCAAAATATACCAAGAATAAGTATTCTAAAATGAAATGTAGAAAAGTTGAAACACCACCCAAAATTTGGCGTCATAAGTTGTAACGACCTGAACCGTCGTTATTCAAAGGCACCAGAACAGAATTCCAAAATTCTTAAAAATGTGTTGCCAATTTAAAAATGAGGTACACGATGATATTATTAAAAATTGAATTGAATCGGGCTAACATCAGCATGCAATAGCGGGATGCCTCCACTATGGCAACGCTTCCGCTATGTCAAGCCGATGACAACGCCTATTTCCTCCATCAACGGAACCTAGAAATTCAGTTGATCCAAAAATTATCAATGATGAGAACAACAAATAATAGAAAATCCTTGCAGACATTAAGAGCGTGTTTGGTATGAAGGAAAATATTTTCCAATTTTGTCATGTTTGATTAGGTAAAATGTTTTGGAAAATGTTTTCCAAATCAACTTATTTTTCTCAAATTTAAGAAAAATGACACTCCTTCAAAAATTAAGGAAAACATTTTTGAATAATCTCCTCCAACTTCAACTTACAATTATTTTTAAAAAAAATCAATCAATTCTTTTTAAGAAAAAATATTTTCAACTGTTATAAAATAAACAAAACTAAAATCATATGAAAGAGCAAAGAAAGAGAAGATAAAAAGTAGAGAAGTAAGAGGTGTAACTAATTTTTTAGTGTTCACTTCATTAACCATTTGTAGTGTCTTTTATAGACACAAAAGGGTAATACATTTCTTGGAGAAGGGAGCTTGCTACAGTAATTTGACTTGGTCATCAATTTGCCACAATGTGAGGCTTACATGTTATCCAATTTTACAACACTCCCCGTTGGATGTCCATGTCAAAGAAAATCTTGTAGAGCTACATATAAGAACCTGCTTGTGTAAGTTGTTTATAGAAACATGTTTGCGGAATTGTTTGTAAGTTGCATAGATGTACTTGCTTGCGGAGCTGTTTGTAAGTTGTCTTCTTCAAGCTTATCTAGAAAATTGTGTAATAGACATCGCAATATGATGTATTTACTACTCATTGGAGTTCACCAATAGATAATGTGCCTCGTTAAAACATTACTAGGAAAAAACCCTGTGGGAAAAAGTCCTAGTGAAGGAAAAAGAGTACACATATCTAATAATACGCATTGAGAGCTGCCTCATTAAAAACCTTATCAGGAAAACCCAATGGGACAAAACCTTGGTTAAGGGAAAAGAGTGCAACCCGTATTATACTCCTCCTGATTAAACCTGTTACGCCCCGAGCCTACACCCTGGACGTGGCTGGCACTCGAAGAAAATCATTGTTGGCCCCAAGCGAACCCTTGGCCTGGCTTACTTAACTCAGCGGAAGACAATTTTCATATCTATAATGATCAATGAACTTAACTGAACTGAATAATAACATAACTGAGAATGTTTCAAAGATTAAACATTCAACTTGGCCAAAAGTGGCAACCCAAGTCTTAACATAAGATCAAATGAGAAAACTAAAGAACTAATAATTGACTGTCTATGAAGCCTCTAAAACAACTGAGATGGATGTTGGGACAAACCCCACAACATCCTAGTGAACTAAACTAGAAAGCAAATAAAGGAGTCCTCCAGAATACAAGGAGGCTCACCAACAGACTCTGAATGCTCAAGCTGGATCAACGAGGCGTTGGATGCTGATCATGGTTATCTGCGTCTGCATCATAATAAGATGCAGGCCAACTGGCATCAGTACATTGAATGTACGAGTATGTGAGTTGGAATGCTAAACATACATAGGCTTGAAAAGATTCTGGAAGAAACACTTACCTTGGCTCTTCTCAACTTCTGAATAACTCAACTCAATATAAAGCAATAAAAGACATGCGATATATATATATATATATAAAAACAACTATAAACAATCTTAGTTCGTTAAAGATAAAGCGATAACAAACTTAACTTTACTTATTTAGAAAGTAATATAACTTCTGTGGGAGATTCTCTAACCGACAACCATCACTATGAGCCTAAGTGATGGTACAACGTTTTACCTCACGTTGCCAAGGACCTTCCTATACCTTGCCATCGGTATAGAACCTGAACTACTAAATGGATCCACTAGTCTATGTTGAAAAGCACTAAGGAATCATCTAAAAAGTATGACCCTTTTTATGCCTATGATGGTTACATGGTTTATGAGGGCTTGAGTTAATATGAACTCGCATCCCCATATCGGTGCTCAATAATACTCCCAAAATATACTTAGCTCATATGATTTAAAAATCAAAACTTCTTTCTTTTTTTTTGAGATAATTACTCAAACCTTTATCTTAAAAGCTCTCTTGGAAATCGGTGTTTCCCTTTCTTATTCAAATGTGAAAAGATTTTAAACTCTTGAGAATACTTAGTTCCCTGATAGCTTTTGTAGAAATGAACTCAACTCTTTACTCTTTGCTTAACTTGAAACTTGAGCCTAAAAAAACTCAAAGTTTAAGTCTTAAAACAAAGTTAAAACGTTTGTTAAAAACTTTTGAAAACTTTAAAAACTTTGCTTGGACTTGCTCTTAACTTTTAGACTTGACTCTTAACCTCTCTTGACTTTGATCCTAACTTTCCTTGAATTGGATTATGGATTCAAGGTTCATGATCTCATGTTTATGGATGATTTCATGATGTTTATATGTACCTTAGAGTGTTGGAATCAACTTAGAAACATAGGTACTTTGCTAGGGAACAAGTGTGAAAAGGTGGGGAACGAATGGGGAGAACTGACGTCCCTGGCGCTCTGAGAGGCAGGGCACCAGCCCTCAAAGTTCAGAGAACTTTCTGTGGCACGATGCGCCAGAGGCCAAAGTTCAGAGGAACTTTTGTGGCGCTCTGGCAGGCGCGGAGCCCCAAGCCCTTGCCCAAAAAATCCCCGATTTTTCTCCTTCGTTTTTCATCTGTAAACCCTCTAAACTTCAATGGTTCTTTCCCCAAACATTTAGAATCATTAGTACCCTCAATATACAACAGATTCAACACGAAATTTCACCCGAAAACATGAATCAAATCATCAAGAAACCTCAACAACACAACCCCCAAGAATTTAACGAAACTTTCAACAATGTTCATCAAGAACTCAATTTCTAATCATTCAAAGACTTAAATTCGCTGAATTGAATCATGTTTGGAGCGTGGGTGAACTAAACCAACACTATGTAGTCTCACATACCTTGTAGGGATCATCCCGACGAATTCCACAAGTTAAACTTCGACAATCTTGACGCTTCTTGATATCTCTTCTCCTTTCTCCTCTTTTCTCTTTTCTCCAAGCCCTAGCGTGAATTCTAATTTTTCTAAAATGAACAAAATCTCGTTTTACCCCAATAAATCTCCTAAAAACGAATTAGAGTAATTGGGTAAGGAAAAGACTAAATTACCCTTCCAAACCCGGATTATAATTTCCTTAATCCAACAGCTCAACTTTCGAAGGGCATAACTTACTCATACGAACTCGGAAATGCGCAAACTTGGCAGCGTTGGAAAGATCATTCCAAGAGATTTCTAACCATATCTAGAAATACTCCTAACTCATTCTGAGCTAGGAGTTATGGTCGTTTGAAGTTGACCAAAAACTCACTTTAACTTGCTTAAAATTTTTCAGATTTCCGTATACTTTCCAAAAACGACTATTTCCAAATTTTTAAACTTCTTTCTAGTTCTTTCTAGTTGAGTGATGTTACAAAAAACATCATTTAATCCTTGTAAATAATCACTCTGAATCTTATTCTTCTTCCAAATATTAGTATTATTTGTGTCTTTATCACCAAATCTCGTTCATGAAGATGTTGCATTCTTGAGCTTATCCTGATAAATCATTTTCTTGTCCCTTGGATATGTTGAGTTCAGCCAATACGTCCTTGACAATCACTTAGTTTGTGACCTCGTCGGTGTAGATAAATTGCTCATTCAACTTGTTTCTAGCAATAGCCAAAGTGACAGAGA